GTTGGTGAGCTGCCTTGAACCACTGTAGTCAATGTGCTGCAGCTTGACCCACAACACCCTTAGGAAGGAGTTCCAGGATGCAGTCCCTAGTGACTGAAGGAACAGTGATATTTTCCACTTGGGGAACATCCTGGAAGTTCTCATGTCTGCTGACCTTGGCCTTCTAAATGGTCATGAGTTTAGTGGAAGCTTTTGTGAACTTCTGCGGTGAATCTTGTAAATAGTAGCAGCAGTGTGTACTAACTTCAGTTGAGAGAGTAGGCAATGTGGCCCATTAATCCTACTCTACCACTGAACTAGATTCTAGTTGATCTTGTACTTAGAGTTTATTTTCATACCACTATCTTGAAGTCAGTCTTGTGACTGAATTTTAGCTGCTTCCTTGGGCAGAGAATTCCAGACTCTGTTCTCATGAAGGAAGTTCCTGTTCATCTGTTTTAATGCTGGTCTTTGTTAAAATTGTCCTCTGCTCTAGTCACCTTCAGTACCCTACCATGTTGAGCCCAGTGAATATTTTTCACATCACTGCCTTTCCTTTGAACTCCAGAGAATATGAAGCTAGTCCCCTCCATCTCACCTAGGCTGTCCTACCACTGAAATTTTGATTTGAACTTTGTTCTCAGGTCAGTCCCTTTTTTTGGGAACTGAACATTGCTCCACAATTAGCCTCACCAAGCTCTATGTAACTGCAAGCAGCCACCTTTCCCTGTTGTGCTCCAATTGTCCTGTAGTCAAGGCCATGTACCACCCCTCTAGCTGCTGCTACACCTGCATGTTGACTTTCAGTGGCTTATGAACTCGTCACCCTGATGGTCATGGATATCAACACTGTCCAATCACTTGAAGAAAAACTTCACACTTTCATTGCCTACCACTTCATTAAATCAGCTCAACTCAATGCCCTTGAAGCTGCTTACTTACAACTGATGTAGTGGTGTGCAGGGATAACTTGCTTGAAGGGAATAAAGTGCTTTTTGATCTTTGTTCCCATTTTAGCTTTTTTGGTTTGGAATCTGTGCCCTTTCAGTGGGCAAAATGAATTTGGATAAACTAGCTATTACAAAATCCAGATGTGGTTGTCATGTCCTCCCATGGACTCAGCAGTTCAATGATTGCTGAAGTGCAATTGTCAAGCATCCAGCTCTCACCACATCAGGTATCAAAGTCTGCTTTGATCAAATTGTGATAGCAGGTGGGTGTCACCAACTTTTTTCTTCCCTCCCTCATGGGATGAAGGCATCACTGACAAGGCAGTTGAGTCACCCACATTGCTGTGGGTCTAGAGTCACATGTAGGCCAGACCAGGTAAGGATGGCAGTTTCCTTCCCTAAAGGACATCAGTGAACCAGATTGGTTTTTCCTGAAAAGTGACAATGAATCCACTGTCATTATTAGATTCTTAATTCCTAATTTAATGAATTCAAATTCCACCACATGCTGTGGCAGGATTCAAACCCAGAACATTATCTGGGTCTCTGGATTAACAGTCCAGTGATAATACCACTAGCCCACTGCCTTTTTTAACATCCTGGTTGCTACCACCTGGCAGCAGATCCACTGTCAGTCTTCCTTGTTCCACTTTCTCCTGTCTTCAAGTACCTGTTTCCTTTGACCTAAAGGATTCTCCTGATTGGGTGAACTGCAGGCCAGACCATTAGAGGTGCACAGCCATGGCATGTAGCCTGCTTGTCACTGCCTTGTGCCTTGCCCATAACCACCACCTCTACCAATTCATTGCCAAAGCTCCTTCCACAACACCTGAACCCAGAACTCCTTCCCCTCAAGGGTAAGGGCAGCAGATGCATGGAAATGCATCCATCTCCAAGCTTCCCTTTGCATCATTCCTGATTTGGAACTCACTGTTCCTTCAGTGAACTATACCTACCTAACTACTTTTGTACCTGTACAAACTCTGCAATTCAAGAAAAATGCCACCTTGGGGAAATGAGGGCTGGGCAATGATTGGGCATCATTAGCAAGGCAATCTGAATAAAAGACCATTAGAATGTCTGTCTGAATTTTATTGCTAGCCATGAGTGAATTCAAGTTCACTCAGTTCTGCCCTTTAGGATTCCATTCTTAGCTGATGGTCTTTTTTTGCTTTGAGTGGCCTTCAATATAGCAGTCTGAACATACAGCAACACTTCACTAACTAACTAGAAATGTCTCCATGTCACTGCTTGATCTTTTTCTCATGGGACCTTAGTTTAATGTTAAATCACAAATGGCATTTGTGATGCAGACCTCTTCCCCAGTATGATACTGAAGTCTGCTTTGTGCTTGATACCACCTGGAAAAAACTTTAGTTCAAGCTAAATCTGAACTAATAGCTGACCACTGATATTTGCCAACAGACCCACAGTGGTACTAATCAGCTTATTACTGACATTTTCAGAGCAAAAGGTTATTTCAGATGAAACAACTATATTTTTGAACTATTGAGCTGACTTCAGCTTTTGAAGTATAACAATGCTCTAATTCTAACTTGTGACACATGCAGGACACTAGCTGGGTATGAGGGGTTTTTGAATGTGCAGGATTTTTGTAGTATCCTGGTTAATAATGATACCTTGGGTAAAGCATGTATGATTTTAAAAATCCTGGTGATGGTGGCATGGGACATTGGATCTGGGTCACTGAAGTGAGCATCCCATTTCTGACAAGTCTGCATATGAAAGGACTGAATAGACAGTCGCTCTTCAGACAGATGAGTGTTTGTTTGCCTGTCAAGTTGACAGCCAAGCAAAGGGAAATGTCTCATTGATATTGATCAGCCACTTTTTAAAAAAAACTTGAAGTCATAAGTAACTTTGCTACAACTGTTGAGAAGTCTACAGTGTCTCCTCTCTTAAAAAGAGACATATATTGCATTATCAATGCAAAAAATGTAGACTGGCTACAATAAACTTCTACAATGACCATAGCTGGACAATGAGCCAAATGAGTCTCCATTACAACCTAACTAGATTTCTGGATATTCTAATCAATCTCAGAACAAGACAATTAATATAATGTGCTATGGAATTGCAGCATTAAAGGGACACTTAAAACATCTATAGGCTGTTACTAATGTACCTCTAAATCACCAGGAGAAACTACCATTACCTGTTAAGGTTGCTGGCCAGGGAACTTTGATGGAATGGTCAATCTTTCATTCTTGGTGGTTTTTGTAGTGATTTAGTCTGCAGTTTTTGCAGATCAGTTGAAGTACTGGTTGTTTTAGAGCTTTTTTGTAAGCTTAATGGCTTGAGTCAACTGCAGGCTGTGATCACATTAGGCTTTTAAGACAATTGGTTTACAATTTATCTTCTGTTAGGACATGATGTCCTGCAGTGATCTCCCTCTTAATTGTTTTGTCTAGCACCTCAGTTTGTGACTCGAGCATACCAGTTTGACTATTTTACTGGCATGCTCTGAATTAAGCCACATGGCCTAAGCTAAGGGTCAAAAGGGCACAGCTGATCTAGGAGTTGCCTTGAGGGAAGGCTGAGCAAATTGGACTTGTTGATCACCCAAACTACCTACAAGGTGGATACATTGAGGATACTAATTGGGGAATGTAGAACAAGGGGAAGGGGCTTCACTTCAGATGGCGGTATCTTGTCTGAATTTTGACTCTTGGAGCACAACTTTCTGGAAGTTGCATCTTTGAACACATTTGAGCTGAGTTGCAGATTCTTAACTCCACTTCCCCACCAATTCTGTTAAGGCCTCAAAAGGATTTATCAGGCTTGATGGGCCAAAGGCCCATCCATTGTGCTTTTGGAAATTAATGTCTACTTGGTATGCTAAACACATTGTCTATTTACCAAACAAGTCCACTTCTAGTTTGTCAAAATACTAGCTTCTTTAGCAAGGTTTATTTAAGGAGATGGAAAATGAGGTCCATTTTAGTGACTCACTTTGTAGTGTTAAAATGAGACTGCTTAAGATGTTTCCAATAATCCTACAGTAAATCAAACCTATTGATTCTGTCAAATCATAACCAAGTTTTAAAATTCCTGTCCAGAAAGCTTGCTGACTTGTAGTCAATGAATTTTTATAACTTGCTATGTCATGTGGTATGCTGTAAAAGATGAGATGGTTTAGACTTACTCCAGTCCACCTATTGCTTCATTCAGGGTTTACCCCTTGGAAGCTAATTCTACTAACAATTAAAAGCTCACAGCCAGCTGTAGCTCCTCTGATTAAAGTGCTATCCTCCCCAGAGATGACAGCCTCAAGTAATCAATGACTAAAAGCCACTTTGTTACAGCTGTGATTTTTGGAAGTAGTCTGCTCTTAGATTACATCAATTCCTTTTGTTCTATCAGATCTGGATCTTCCACCAATGAATCACATTACCACCAGCCTACTCTTGGAATCCTTAACAATATTAGATTTAACATGAATTTAACTAGACAAAAGTGACTTATCTGTTCTGAGTATCTCTTACTCCAGTTTAGTTCTATAGTGTTTGACCACTGGTCAATGGCACCATGAATCTCTGGCATTGTCTACCCCTCAACTTCCACACTCGTGGAAGTGGTTAATGAAATGGGGAAATTTTAGTGTTGCCTTAGAAATAAAGGCAAGAAATTTCAGTGCCTTTTGAAATGAGCATGTCTGCTCAACCTTCTTGGTGAGGTGCCAGAAGTGTGCTTTCCACTTGTGGAAAAACATGGGATGGAGTGAATTGGCACATGAGTAAAGACAGTAGTTCCTATGCATCAGTAACTTGAAGCAACAGCAAAACCATCATAACAATGTCTCTGGCCAAAAAGGAATTGTATTGGGCCACAACCCAGTACTTGGGCACAACAAGACAGACTGGTTTTTGTCTTGTATAACTCTTTGCAATGAGGTGTTGGCATTTGAGAAGGAAATGTTAGCATGACCATGTTTCAGATTGTGTTCCTCATTGATTTGTACATCTGTAGTCCATGCACAATCAATATCATAGAATTCATGTCTTGGCAAATTTGTTCACTTACTATTTAGTGAATAGTACTAATGGCTAGGCCAGTCCAGTTCAGTTACCACTAGCCAGAAACTGAACTAGGTGAGCCACTTTCTCCAAGAGTGGGTCAGGGAGTAACTCACCACCTGACTCCCCAAAGCCAGGCCACCATCGACAAGGCACATGCAGGAGTATGATGGAATACTCACCACTAGCCTGAATGGATGTAATTCCAACAATGCTGAAGCTTGACACCACCTAGGATAAAGCAGGCCACAAGATTGGCAGCACATCCACAAACATTGAGTAGCAGCAGTGAAGAAATTCAAAGGCTGCTTGAACAATATATTCCAAACCACCTCCACTTCTCCTTTAGAAGGAAAAGGGCAGCAGACATGGAACATCACCCCCTGAAAGTTCCCCTAAGCCACTCACCATCCTGACTTGGAAATACATTGTTCCTTCACTGTTGCTAGGTCAAATCCTAGAACTCTCTCTACCTACAGCAGTTACACTGTCTTGGTTCAAGGCAGCAGCTAACCACCAGGAGCAATAAATGCTGGCCAAGTCAGTCATACTTGCTGCTTGTGAATCTCATCAGGCCTAGATGTGTATGAACTTGGTAATTAGAGCATTGTTGTAACAGCATTGGCAACTTGGGTATCCTTTTATACCTTCCATCATTTGGGTGTAGCTTGAATTGCTGCAATGTGGTAAGATCTTGGCAATGTTCCCAATTAAAATTGCTTCTGCCTGTTTTGCCACTAATTGTACACTACTTGCAATTATGCAGATTGCTCCTACAGGTTTATTATCTGGTAAATATTTCTTGGATCTCCTGCTTGAGCAGGAAATGCTAGGATGACCATGTCTTAGATCATGTTCCTCATTGATTTGTATGACTGTTTGAGGCAGCTCTAGAGCTTGTTTTAATGTCCATTTATCATTCACCTGACATCTAGAATGTTTCTATTCACAGATAACAATATGGGTGGCAGGCTAAGTAGAAAAAGGAGGGGCTACAATGTGAATGACCCCAAAGAGAGCAAATCTGCTGCAGAGTCCACTGACCAGCCTGAAGTGAAACAAGATGAGCCTGAAAGCAAGGATGTTTCCAAGGAACAGCTCAAGACTCCAGAAGCTGAGCTGCCTGACCAGCAACCAGATGAGGCCCCCAAAGTAACTAGTGAAACCACTGAGGGAAACCAAACTGATTCAACTGTGACCATTGAAGGCAAAGCAGCCATTGGTGCTCAAGACCATGAGGCAGTACTCTCTTCAGAGGCACAAGAGAGTGCAACCTGCACAAATTCTGTAAAAGCAACAGAACAACCAAGCCAGGAGGACCATCAGACAACTAAGGCTGAAATTGAATCTAGCTCAAGTGCTGAAGTTCATGTGCCAGTGTCTAGTGAAGAGACCACACTAAGTGGTGTGGTGGCAGTGAGCAGCCCAAATGGAGAAGCCCAGGAGAAACCAGTTCTCCCCTCAAAGCATGTGAATGAAGGCCCAAATTTGCCAACAGAGAAACTAGAGTCTGACCATGCTGCACCAAAAATCATGGAAAACAACAAACAATTAAACTCCAGTGTGAGCCTAGATGTCAAAGTTCAATCTGGCCAAGTTCCTGAAGGAATAGCTGAGACATCTGAGCAGGAATTGACCAAAACCCAGGATAGTCTTTCTGAGCAAGCTGAAAGCTCTGACCTGGAGACCAAGTCTGAACCTGGAGCTGAAAATGTGCCCCATGAGACTGAGACACCAAAATTGTCTGAAATAACTGAGGAAACCCCTATTGATCTTGTCTTGAAGAATGAAGTGGCCAAATGTGCAGATCTCCAGAAAAACCTATCTGGACCAGGCACTATGGATGAAGTGCAGGAAAAGATGGTGAGTAAATCTACTCGTACTGCCCAAGTAGTAGCTGATTTAAAAACAGAAAATTCTGATCACTTACACGATGGCTCTGTTCAAGGGGTCACTAACAAAGTGCCTGAAGATCAGGGCCAATTGCTGGAAGGTTCTGGAAATCTATCTGTAGACACTTTGAGGGAGGAAAGTGTGACAGATTTAGTTCCAGTAGAACTGAAGGGTCCTGAGACTGACCCTGCTCCCAAGGCTGTTAGTGTACCAGAAAAGACTACCCATGTAGTCACACAATCACCAGATCCCATAATGGCTGAATGTGCTCCAGGGACTTCTCCTCCAGTAACTGAGAAGGTCATCCAATTAGGATCTCCAGATGCCACAGCAGAAGAATGTTCTCCAGAGACTCTTCCAAATGCTGACAAGGAAATATCTGAAACCAGGCTTGAGCAAACTCCAGAAATGAGCCACCAAGACAGGGCAGAAATAGCCCTGCTCAACAGCAGTTCTGAGAAAATACCAGCTATTAAGCTAACTGTCTATACAGAAGCCTTGCAGGAAGAGAAAATAGAAATGGACACAGAACTAATGACTAAGGAGTCTCCAAATCATTTTGACACCAAGGATCCAGATCCAGATCCACAAAATGAAATGCTTCCTGAGAAACAGTCCACTTCATGCTTAGTTGAACTGATTTCAGACCAAGAAGTTGTGAAAGTAGGTAACACTTCAGATCATCCTGTCTCTGAATCCCAGAGTTCTTCTCTGGATGTTGGGGAACAGAGTCTAACAGATCAGACCAAGACAGAAGCTACTGTTCCTACTGAAAATGTGTCTGTGGTTGGTGCATCAAGCCAGATTGAAAAGACCAGCCTTGATGAGACTCCCATTGCTAATGGGACCCCATTAGATACTGGAGTGGGAGATTTCAGCAAATCCATGAGTAAAGTCAGTGGTCAAGATGCTACAGCTGAAGAGTATCTTCAAGACCAGAATTGTGATATGAAGTGATAGAACAAAATGTAAATCCATTGAACAAGCAGAAATAGATCTTTGGAGGAATCTGATCAAACCTTGGATTCAGGGCTGAGTCAGTGACTGCAAAATGGGATGCCAAAGCAGTGAGGCTTTTACACAAATGAATCACCTGTGGAAGATGTGGAATTTGAATCTTGTTCAAACTGGCTAGCAGCTAGGTTTTGATTTGACTAAAGACTGAGCTTAATGCTGCAAGAAGGGGACACTTTTTTTCTCTTGACTTGCAGTATATGAATTTGACTGGTTCCATGATTTTATCTCAATACAGATGATAAATTTTGAAGATCAATGAAGACCCAGCCTTGTGCCAAGAGCTTTTGGGATACAAGCTGTCACATGATACTTTTCAGGCATGCAAATCTACAAGTTTGAATACTAAATGCTATGTTTTGAGATGCACATTTGAGTAGTTGAGGTAACTCTGAACCCCTCTTGCAAGAAGATCAATTGTAACTAATTGGATAATGTGAAGGTTTTAAAATTTAAATGCTTTGAAAACTTAATAAATTATGTATCATACTTGACCCAGTTTTGAGTTGTGTAATATTGCACTGGCAAAAGTTGCCATTTCTCCTAAAAGGATGGATAGTTTTGCTTGTTGCCCTAGTGCACTCCTCAATAGGAGTTGGCTAGCTGTGGCAACAACAGGCTGAATCTCAATCTCAAGTGCTGGCACCTTGGCAGGTGTAGCAGACACTAAAGCAGAATTTGAATCCTTTAAGTCTGTTGTTTGGCCTTGAACCAAACAGCATCTGTGGAAAGAAAGGAGTTGGCGCCTGCTTGAGTTTTTCCAGCACTTTTTGGCAACAAAATAAAATGAGTTACTGTAACTAGATAGTGGGGAAATTCTGGAATCTTGCTTTAATTTGGTAACCCTAATCCAGATCATGGTCATGGCTAGGATCTGGGCTGCTGGCTGATCTTAGCATAGGAAGAATGTTAACCAATTAACAGTTCATTCTGTCTAGAATTGGTGTGCTGAAGGGAATAAAACTTAAGTGGGCTGTAGGTGTTCTTTCTGCCACCAGTTGTCAATACTGGAATTCAAGTACATACTGCAGGCAAATTTTAGCCTGGAACAACAGTGGCCCCATTAGTGTTCACTTTACCTCCGCAGACTTGCCCTATTCTAGTTCTAATGTTACACTTCAACATGGCTGCATTTAAACTAAAGATGTACAGGGTGATTTTGTTTAATACAAACATTAAAATGGTCATCACTCTTGGATAAACCTTTACTCCTTCCTACAGCCCCCACCCCTGTTAACCTGCATAACTATTGGTCCTGAGTTCTTCCATAGAGGAAGGATTAAACTGGCAAAACTTGTATACTGTCTCAGACTTGTTGCGTAATCCACTCCCTATTTTGAGATTAATCTCCAGGGAGGCCAGGAGGCTTTCAGATTCTGAAGCAACACTATTGAGAAGGCTAAAGTTTCATTTTAAACAGCAATAACAGGGCATGTGCCAATAAATTGGCAATGGGCTTCAATGCTACATTACCAGCTATTGGGGTTATGGTCCATCAATTAGAACAATCCATTCTTGGACTAGGTGTTACCAACCAAATGGGACAGGAATTAATTCCTTTAGAACTTAAATTGTCAACTTTCTTGGTCAAGTCCTCAGGACAGAATTTGAAAAATGCACTAGACATTTCACCTAACTGAAAATATAAAGTAATGTCCAGTTAATCTTAAGTCTACTTCAGGTAGCTCATTACATCTATCTAATGCAGAAACATAAACTAATGGCCATACTAAACATCCTAATGAATAGGAAGGTGGAAGATAAATTGCATTGACTTGATCTATTCAACTGCAAAGATTTTTGTCAAATACTTCAACAATTAGAATGTTCTCATCTCCACCCCACATTTTTTGCTACATTCCTTCTAAAATATTCCCTTGTTAAAATAGCTGAAACCTGCTAAGTGCAATCTCAGAGCTGAACAGCAAATGCTATTACCACAAGTTGAAGAAACAACTGCTTGTTTTCTCAACTCCACCTAAAATTGTGTCTTTCTTTCTTCCTCATGCTTCTAGAGCTATTTTCTGCAGCAATTTTGTTTCAGGCATCCAGTTTCTCTTTATATTGCTTACACTTTTGAAATTGCAAAACTGTCTTTAGTGTTGGTTTTTTTGTTTTGGAAGGGGTGAAGGAGAGGGGATGGGAATTCTATTAACCTCAAATACAAGACTTGTCTATATTTTTACTGATTTTTTTAATTCAAACTTTAAAGTCAAATCCAAGAAAAGATAGTATACTTGGACTAACCACTTATGAAGAGAATTTGAGCTTCATTCTGCCTTTCCCTGGTTATTTAAATCACCTACTGATGGCAGAAGTACATATGCTTTAGCTGTTAGCTTGCAATAAATACTGGGTTAGTTATACAAAGATGACCAGAGACAGTTTGTAGAAACCTTTTTTCCAGAGGCTCAAAGATGTGGAGTGTTTCTCTGGTGTGGAACACCAGAGTAAGGCCTATAAATAAGTTGGCCACCCTCAAAGTCAAAAGGGAGCCTGGAGTAAGTGGTGATTTGTAGACAGTTGTACCTTGTGGTGCAGTTCAGGCAAATAGCAAATGTAAACACCTGAAGAAAGATCAAAGGTTGACACTGACCTTTGGTCAAATGATCTGTTTGTGCTGAGAAGTGCAATATAGTTAGAGTTCCAAGCCTGACTTAAGACTTAACAGTGACAACCCTACAAATGTCAATGCTATGAACAATCCAATTACTGTTTTACTTTCTATAGTAGGGTAGGAATGTTGGGTTAATTGAAGGGTGGGGTGGGGGGAAATACATGGCTCTTTGAAAATGTATGCATGACACTTCCAAGGTTCTTAGCCACTAGCTATTTGAACAAGACAAATTTCCAGAGCTTTGCAACGTCTTGTGCTCTTTACTGAGTTACTTTGAAGTCTGATCACCATTTTAAGTCCAAAACAGCAGTTTTTTTTTTTTTTTTTTGGCAAGTCTCAAGGACAGTATTCCTAATATGTCGGATGAAGGTTCAAGTGCACTCTCCCTGTTAAAAGTCTAAATCCACAAGTTGTCCAAAAGCAAATGCTGTTTCCTGAGTGTAAGCCATCAATTTACATAGGCCACTTGGCCTAACAACTCTATTCTGATGTTTGTTCCACTTAGGCTGCTATTTTTTTAATCTGCCATCATAAACCATCTATTCAGTTTTTTTTTTTTTTTTGTTTAGTAAATTTTTCTCCTTTTGATTATACAAATTTGCTTCAACTATTCCCTGGTTTCTGAATTTCTTTGACTACCAAATGTTGGCTTCTACTAATAAATTTCTACAAATGGAAGCACTCTTTCCTGATCCAGTTTTGTGGTCCATTGTTAGGAGCCAAAAGTTAAAAATGCCATCTATTCTAGCAAGGCAGCATACATTTCTTCAGATTGAAAATAGTTTCTATGTATACACAGATGGTGATAGATTCCATCTTGGTTTTTGGGTCTGTATTTGATTTACTGTAATTGTAAGTGCAGTACTTAACAAATTTCATTAACCAATTCCAGTTGAGTGACAGATCTAAGCAGGTGGCCTAATAGTTCATTTTTGAGTCTGGTAGAAGACAGTCAGTACTTAGTGCTGAAATGATACTTTTTGGCTTAGGTTTATTACTAACTTTTAAATGACAATGCAAGAAATTACAAATGTTAACAGTTCCCCCACATGATTTTGAAATTGCTTAGGTTAGTGACATACTAGAATGAGGGCAAATACAGTTTATAGAGTTATTAGGAGTAGGCCATTTGGTCCCTTAAGCCTGCTCCACCATTCATTAGGATTGCGACTGACCTGATATTCCTCATGCCCACATTCCTGCTCTTTCTCCCTCACCCTTGAGTCCCGAACTGATCAAGAAGCTATCTCAGCCTTAAACGTGCATGAAGACTCTGGCCCCATACCTCTGTGATAAGGAGTTCCAAAGTCTCCAACGTCTCCAACCTTTGAAGAAATTCTTCTTCATCTTGGTCTTAAAGTGGCATCCCCATCAAAGCTGCTGTGGGGTGAGGGGCTCAAAGTTACCATGATGCTGCCAGCACTTGCTTCAGAATACCAAGATTTCTTGCAAAGAGCAAACACTAATTCTTTCCAAATCTTTGCCCCACAAAATTCAATCATAGTCAATATAGTGACTCTGTGCTATAGTGGTATGAGTGGCAGGGTTGTATGGTTTGTCTGGTTTGGACATCAGCCTATGAGGGAATATCCAATTATAAGTAGATCGGTGAGTGGCTACAACATGTCCCAGGTCTAAACCAGAAATATTCTAAGCATTGCATTCGATTCTCAAGATGTTATCATTCCATAAACATCTGTTAGTGTACTTGTAAGATTACTGATGTGTTTTTAAACATTGAGAATCACAGTAAAACTACACTTGAGGGGAGGGACAACACCAGTACATAATTTGTATGCTAAAACTATTTTATTATTGTGACCTGAACAGATTCAAAATAAACATGGGATACTCACCATTTTCTAATATGATAGCTAACCCCCAAAGACTGGAAATTTTTCTGGGATGTGCAACCTTAGCATTAGTCATTCTTTCTGTTCAAACATAGACAGTGAATACTGAAGATTGATATCTTGTTCTTGTCGTGTGGCATTTTTTCTACATTAAGTCAGTGGATTGTAATTGAGAAGATAATGTGACACATTTTAAGTCTGGAGTACTGAGGGTGATACTAAGCTCTGCTGTGTTCCTGATTCATTTTAGAATGTAACAATATAGTAGCAAGATTTTCTTTGGCATTTTACAATCTGTACAGTTAAATCTTACCAAGACTTCATTAGAGCAAAATATTGCAGATGCTGGAAATCTGAAACACAAACAGAATGCTGGAGAAACTCAGGGTCCTGAAGAACTCTCAGAGCAGACTTGGCATAAATGGTTTCTCTCTCTATCAGACCTGCAGGGTTTCTCCAGCACTTTCATTCCTTTGGGTCTTGGGTCTTCTCGGTCTTGGGGAGTTTCTTTTCTGAAAAATAGAACACAATTGCACACAATGATGGAACAGAATGCTGCTGATTTTATTTGTTTTCTCTTCCTCTGCCCATCCTCCTTCAAAGGCAGCAATGGATACAGTGCAATAACGCTGCTATATCATCCTTCCCACAAAGTTAATTCCCTTCACTTTCCCTTCTTTCTGCTCATCTAAGATCCTAGACGTTAGTAACTGCTAATGTGTTAAATAAACATTTTGTAGTAACAGTTGAAAAATCCATTCTCTGAGAATTGGCTTGATGGACCAGGAGTTTGTTTTTGAAATTTGCTTACCATGGTGGTTAATCCATTAACCTATTAACACAAACCTTCTAATGTTCTCTTAACAGTTTCTTACACTCATTTGTGTTAAAATATTGCTGTAGGAAAATGACCTTAACAATCACCAGTAAAAGGGAAGATTAAATGTTTATAATATAAAACTATAAAATGAGTGTAGTGTTTAGGAGTTCTTTTGCTGTTGCAGCTGGTCAAGTCAGCATGGAG